AAAAAAATCGTTTATTCCCCGAGGCTATTAAAATATACTTATAGTGCGGTAAAATTGAGTTATTTGCACAAGACATTAATTGACCTGTGCTATTTCGACAGATTATAGTCCAGGAAAATTCTCCATAAATCCCACAAACTCAAAAAAAAATCGTTTATTCCCCGGGACTATTAAAATATACTTATAGTGCGGTAAAATAGAGTTTGTTGCAAGGGACATTAATTAACCTGTGCTATTTCGACAGATTATAGTCCAGGAAAATTCGTAATAAATCCCACAAACTAAAAAAAATCGTTTATTCCCCGGTACTATTAAAACATACTTATAGTGCGGTAAAATTGAGTTTGTTGCAAGGGACATTAATCAACCTGTGCTATTTCGACAGATTATAGTCCAGGAAAATTCGTAATAAATCCCACAAACTCAAAAAAAAATCGTTTATTCCCCGGTACTATTAAAATATACTTATAGTGCGGTAAAATAGAGTTTGTTGCACGGGACATTAATTGACCTCTGCTATTTCGACCGATTATAGTCCAAGAAAATTCGCGATAAATCCCACAAACTCCAGAAAAAATCATTTATTCCCCGGGACTATTAAAATTTACTTATAGCGCGGTAAAATAAAGTTCTTGCACAGGACATTAATTGACCTGTGCTATTTCGACAGATTATAGTCCAGGAAAATTCGTAATAAATCCCACAAACACAAAAAAATCGTTTATTCCCCGGGACTATTAAAATATACTTATAGCGCGGTAAAATAGAGTTTCTTGCACAGGACATTAATTGACCTCTGCTATTTCGACAGATTATAGTCCAAGAAAATTCGCGATAAATCCCACAAACTCCAGAAAAAATCGTTTATTCCCCGGTACTATTAAAATATACTTATAGTACGGTAAAATAGAGTTTGTTGCACGGGACATTAATTGACCTCTGCTATTTCGACAGATTATAGTCCAGTAAAATTCGTAAAAAATCCCACAATCTCCAAAAAAAATCGTTTATTCCCCGGGACTATTAAAATATACTTATAGTGCGGTAAAATAGAGTTTGTTGCACGGGACATTAATTGACCTCTGCTATTTCGACAGATTATAGTCCAGGAAAATTCGTAATAAATCCCACAATCTCCAAAAAAAATCGTTTATTCCCCGGGACTATTAAAATATACTTATAGCGCGGTAAAATTGAGTTTGTTGCATGGGACATTAATTGACCTCTGCTATTTCGACAGATTATAGTCCAGGAAAATTCGCGATAAATCCCACCAACTCCAAAAAAAATCGTTTATTCCCCGGTACTATTAAAATATACTTATAGTGCGGTAAAATTGAGTTTGTTGCACGGGACATTAATTGACCTGTGCTATTTCGACAGATTATAGTCCAGGAAAATTCGCTATAAATCCCACAAACTCCAAAAAAATCGTTTATTCCCCGAGGCTATTAAAATATACTTATAGTGCGGTAAAATAGAGTTTGTTGCAAGGGACATTAATTGACATGTGCTATTTCGACAGATTATAGTCCAGGAAAATTCGCGATAAATCCCACAAACTCCAAAAAAAATCGTTTATTCCCCGGGACTATTAAAATATACTTATAGTGCGGTAAAATTGAGTTTGTTGCAAGGGACATTAATTAACCTGTGCTATTTCGACAGATTATAGTCCAGGAAAATTCGTAATAAATCCCACAATCTCCAAAAAAAAATCGTTTATTCCCCGGGACTATTAAAATATACTTATAGTGCGGTAAAATAGAGTTTGTTGCACGGGACATTAATAGACCTGTGCTATTTCGACCGATTATAGTCCAGGAAAATTCGAGATAAATCCCACAAACTCCAAAAAAAATCGTTTATTTCTACTACTAAATTATACTTATAGTACGGTAAAATAGAGAACAAAAAAAAATCGTCAAATTGAATAACGGATGCGAATTCGTTCGACCTTGTCGATGCGCGTGTGTAATTTTAATTGACTAATTTCCAATTAACTATCGCCTCGTACGTAAAGGTTGAATATATTGTAGAAAAAAAAAACATTCAAGTCTGTTAAATATCAATTCGAAATGTGATTTACTGTTTGCGTAACACAAAAATAGACATTGTGAAATATCTGGAAAAAATCTATACAGTGTGTCTACTAAAAAAAAAAACCGCTAAACTTCAGGAAGTGATTATAGAAATAATTTCTAACAAAAAATATCCTAAAACACTTTTTCGAAAAGTTGGTAGTTTTTCTTTTATTTAACATTTAATGGTTTCGAATTTACTTTTATTCGTATAGATATATTAATTTCAATCAAATTAATAAAAAAGTATCAGTTCTTAAAAGATAGTTTAATATACCGGGGGTGTTATAAAAGATTTAATTTGTTATTAATAAGAAACGAACATAATTATATCAATTTTTTAATGGTCGTAAATCCAAAAATATTTACTTAATATATTTTCTATATTATATATTCTCCTATAATATTCTTCTATATTATATAATCTTAATATATATTCTTAATATTTACACTTTTCGAAAAAGTGTTACCAATTAAAATTTGGCGGTTTGTATGGTGGACACCCTGTATAGTTTTTTTAACGCTTTTATTTAATAATCGTTTAACGAATTAATTCGCTAATACAATCGATTGCGTCATATCGATTAAACAACTTTCGGCGAATCGAATGAAAATTTGTTCCGCCTAATACTTATTGTTATAATACATTTAGAATAAATCATCGAAAGTAATATTCGTGAATTTATCGTTAATTTGTTTGTTCTCTGTGTTCTGTTTCGGTGTAGAATTAGAGTAGATTCAGAGTAAAGTCGGAGTAAATTCAAAGTAGATTTAAACAGTGCGTTCAGAGTAGATTCAGGGTACAGTTAGAGTAGATTAAGATGCAGTACATTAAAAGTAAATTCAGAGTTGATTAAGGAGTAGATTCAGAGTAAATTCAGAATAAAATCAAAGTAGATTTTTAGTAGATTTAGAGTAAATTCAGGAGTAGATTCAGAGTAGATTCAGCAGTAAAATCAGAGTAGATTCAAAGTCAATTTGGGAGTAGACTCAGGGTAAATTGATCAGTACAAAGTAGATTCAGAGTAAATTCAGAGTATAAATTAAGGAATAGATTATGAGTAATTCAGAGTGAATTGATCAGTAAATTCAGAGTAGAATCAGAGTAGAGTCAGAGTAGATTAAGAAGCAGTACTTCAGAGTAAATTCAGAGTTGAATAAGGAGTAGATTCAGAGTAAATTCAGAATAGAATCAAAGTAGATTTGAGTAGATTTAGAGTAGATTTAAACAGTGCGTTCAGAGTAAATTCAAGTGGATTAAGGGATATATTAAGAGTAGATTGAGCAGTAAATTTAGAGTAGATTCAGGGTAGAGTTAGAGTAGATTAAGAAGCAGTACATTAAGAGTAAATTCAGAGTTGATTAAGGAGTAGATTTAGAGTAAATTCAGAATAGAATCAAAATAGATTTTTAGTAGATTCGTGGTAGATTCAGAGTAGATTAAAGAGTAGATTTAGAGTAAATTCAGGAGTAGATTCAGGGTAAATTGATCAGTACAAAGTAGATTCAGAGTAAATTCAGAGTATAAATTAAGGAATAGATTATGAGTAATTCAGAGTGAATTGAACAGTAAATTCAGAGTAGAATCAGAGTAGAGTCAGAGTAGATTAAGAAGCAGTACTTCAGAGTAAATTCAGAGTTGAATAAGGAGTAGATTCAGAGTAAATTCAGAATAGAATCAAAGTAGATTTGAGTAGATTTAGAGTAGATTTAAACAGTGCGTTCAGAGTAAATTCAAGTGGATTAAGGGATATATTAAGAGTAGATTGAGCAGTAAATTCAGAGTAGATTCAGGGTAGAGTTAGAGTAGATTAAGAAGCAGTACATTCAGAGTAAATTCAGAGATGATTAAGGAGTAGATTCAGAGTAAATTCAGAATAGAATCAAAGTAGATTTTTAGTAGATTCGTGGTAGATTCAGAGTAGATTAAAGAGTAGATTTAGAGTAAATTCAGAAGTAGATTCAGAGTAGATTCAGCAGTAAAATCAGAGTAGATTCAGAGTCAATTTGGGAGTAGATTCAGGGTAAATTCAGAATAGAATCAAAGTAGATTTTGAGTAGATTCAGAGTAGATTAAAGGGTATATTTAGAGTAAATTCAGAGTAGATTAAGGAGTAGATTTAGAGTAAATTCTGTAATAGATTCACAGTGGATTTAGAATAGATTCAGAGTAGATTTGGGAGTAAATTCAGGGTATAAATTGTTCAGTACAGAATTCAGATTCATAGTAGAGATTAGAATAGAATAGAGTAGATTCAGAGTAGTGTAGACCTAGCAGTTGCGAAAATTCCAAAAATTTGAATTCAATAAAATTCTACAAAATCAACCAAAAATATCTACTAACATATTATCTAATATATTAATTACATAAGTTATTTAAGTAACTTTATCATCTTTATCGTCTCTTGAAGAATATTTTTCAGTTTGTTAGCACATTTTTTTTTATTTCTTTAGATTGATATTGGATAGTAATTGATAATAAAATTGATAAATAATTAGCAAAATTAATAAAAATAATAATTACTTACATTAATTAAATAAAATTAGTTTCTCATTCTTTCGAGACTTTCCACTCAATAACTCTTAATAAAAATTGGGGAAAACGTCTTAAAAAAAGTGCTCAAAAAAAATATTGATTCTCAAAATTTCAGGTCTCAAAATATACAGATGGATGCAAAATTGTTTGCAACATATAGACTGCGAGTGCGACAAAGACAACTTCCATTATAAATTAATTAAACTAATTAATAAATTAATTAAAAGGAAAAAATATACAAGTGATATATTGTGGGGGGGGATTACAACTTTCTCACTCTAACCAATATGTTATTCAAATAATCTTTCTTCGTTCAACTCGTCATATTGCAAACAAATTTGCACTTAATCCATATGGAATTTAAATAAATTATTTATACTTACAACTTCTTAGAAATTTTAATGTTTAATAATTCTTCTGTTATAGTAAAATCTGATAATATTTGGATATTTTTTTTTTCAGATATATTTCAGTAGAAATTTTCTTCAAGTTTATAAAGTTGGCACTACTTGCGGTTATTAAGCAATAACTGCTGGAAATATCTAGTTTTATTTGACGATCGATTAATATAATATTCGCTATCGGAGTGCCTACTGTTATTTGTTTTAATTATTTTATCGAATTTATAAGTGTTTATTGCATAATCCACCTACTTGTATGCACTTGCTATTTTTTATTGCATGAGTTCTCGGTAAAAACTACTTTTCTAAGCGTTCGACTGTACTAAACGAGAGTTTTTGATAGTACAGGAAAATTGTGAATCCCCGAAAAGGTTTTTAGTTTTTTTCAGCATTTAACTGGACTAAAAGAGAGTTTTTAATAGTACAGGAAAACTGGGAAACCCCGAAAAGGTTTAGTAATCGAAGCTGGTTGATTAGGTGAAAAATTGCGATACAATACTGTTAAAATTTCTAGTTTTTTTACTCATTTAACTGGACTAAAAGAGAGTTTTTGATAGTACAGGAAAATTGGGAATTCCCGAAAAGGTTTAGTAATCGAAGCTAGTTGATTAGGTGAAAAATTGCGAAACAATACTGTTCAAATTTTTAGTTTTTTTCAGCATTTAACTGGACTAAAAGAGAGTTTTTGATAGTACAGGAAAATTTGGAAACCCAAAAGAGGATTAATAATCGAAGCCAGTTGATTAGGAAAAAAATTGCGGTACAATACTGTTAAAATTTCTAGTTTATTTACGCATTTAACTAGACTAAAAGAGGGTTTTTGATAGTACAGGAAAATTGGGAAACCCAAAAGAGGATTAATAATCGAAGCCAGTTGATTAGGAAAAAAATTGCGGTACAATACTGTTAAAATTTCTAGTTTATTTACGCATTTAACTAGACTAAAAGAGGGTTTTTGATACTATAGGAAAATTGGGAAACCCAAAAGAGGTTTAATAATCGAAGCTAGTTGATTAGGAATAAAATTGAGGTAGAATACTGTTAAAATTTCTAGTTTTTTTACTCATTTAACTGGACTAAAAGAGAGTTTTTGATAGTACAGGAAAATTGGGAAACCCAAAAGAGGATTAATAATCGAAGCCAGTTGATTAGGAAAAAAATTGCGGTACAATACTGTTAAAATTTCTAGTTTTTTTACGCATTTAACTGGACTAAAAGAGAGTTTTTGATAGTACAGGAAAATTGGGAAACCCAAAAGAGGTTTAATAATCGAAGCTAGTTGATTAGAAATAAAATTGAGGTAGAATACTGTTAAAATTTCTAGTTTTTTTACTCATTAAACTGGACTAAAAGAGAGTTTTTGATAGTACAGGAAAATTGGGAAACCCAAAAGAGGTTTAATAATCGAAGCTAGTTGATTAGGAATAAAATTGCGGTATAATACTGTTAAAATTTCTAATTTTTTTACGCATTTAACTAGACTAAAAGAGGGTTTTTGATAGTAAAGGAAAATTGGGAAACCCCGAAAAGGTTTAGTAATCGAAGCTAGTTGATTAGGTGAAAAATTGCGGTACAATACTGTTAAAATTTTTAGTTTTTTTCAGCATTTAACTGGACTAAAAGAGAGTTTTTAATAGTACAGGAAAATTGGGAAACCCCGAAAAGGTTTAGTAATCGAAGCTAGTTGATTAGGTGAAAAATTGCGGTACAATACTGTTAAAATTTTTAGTTTTTTTCAGCATTTAACTGGACTAAAAGAGAGTTTTTGATAGTACAGGAAAATTTGGAAACCCAAAAGAGGCTTAATAATCGAAGCTAGTTGATTAGAAATAAAATTGCGATAGAATACTGTTAAAATTTCTAGTTTTTTTACTCATTTAACTGGACTAAAAGAGAGTTTTTGATAGTACAGAAAAATTGGGAAACCCAAAAGAGGCTTAATAATCGAAGCTAGTTGATTAGGAATAAAATTGCGGTACAATACTGTTAAAATTTCTAGTTTTTTTACGCATTTAACTAGACTAAAAGAGGGTTTTTGATACTATAGGAAAATTGGGAAACCCAAAAGAGGTTTAATAATCGAAGCTAGTTGATTAGGAATAAAATTGAGGTGGAATACTGTTAAAATTTCTAGTTTTTTTACTCATTTAACTGGACTAAAAGAGAGTTTTTGATAGTACAGGAAAATTGGGAATTCCCGAAAAGGTTTAGTAATCGAAGCTAGTTGATTAGGAATAAAATTGCGGTATAATACTGTTAAAATTTCTAATTTTTTTACGCATTTAACTAGACTAAAAGAGGGTTTTTGATAGTACAGGAAAATTGGGAAACCCCGAAAAGGTTTAGTAATCGAAGCTAGTTGATTAGGTGAAAAATTGCGGTACAATACTGTTAAAATTTTTAGTTTTTTTCAGCATTTAACTGGACTAAAAGAGAGTTTTTGATAGTACAGGAAAATTTGGAAACCCAAAAGAGGCTTAATAATCGAAGCTAGTTGATTAGAAATAAAATTGCGATAGAATACTGTTAAAATTTCTAGTTTTTTTACTCATTTAACTGGACTAAAAGAGAGTTTTTGATAGTACAGAAAAATTGGGAAACCCAAAAGAGGCTTAATAATCGAAGCTAGTTGATTAGGAATAAAATTGCGGTACAATACTGTTAAAATTTCTAGTTTTTTTACGCATTTAACTAGACTAAAAGAGGGTTTTTGATACTATAGGAAAATTGGGAAACCCAAAAGAGGTTTAATAATCGAAGCTAGTTGATTAGGAATAAAATTGAGGTGGAATACTGTTAAAATTTCTAGTTTTTTTACTCATTTAACTGGACTAAAAGAGAGTTTTTGATAGTACAGGAAAATTGGGAATTCCCGAAAAGGTTTAGTAATCGAAGCTAGTTGATTAGGAATAAAATTGCGGTATAATACTGTTAAAATTTCTAATTTTTTTACGCATTTAACTAGACTAAAAGAGGGTTTTTGATAGTACAGGAAAATTGGGAAACCCCGAAAAGGTTTAGTAATCGAAGCTAGTTGATTAGGTGAAAAATTGCGGTACAATACTGTTAAAATTTTTAGTTTTTTTCAGCATTTAACTGGACTAAAAGAGAGTTTTTGATAGTACAGGAAAATTTGGAAACCCAAAAGAGGCTTAATAATCGAAGCTAGTTGATTAGAAATAAAATTGCGATAGAATACTGTTAAAATTTCTAGTTTTTTTACTCATTTAACTGGACTAAAAGAGAGTTTTTGATAGTACAGAAAAATTGGGAAACCCAAAAGAGGCTTAATAATCGAAGCTAGTTGATTAGGAATAAAATTGCGGTACAATACTGTTAAAATTTCTAGTTTTTTTACGCATTTAACTAGACTAAAAGAGGGTTTTTGATACTATAGGAAAATTGGGAAACCCAAAAGAGGTTTAATAATCGAAGCTAGTTGATTAGGAATAAAATTGAGGTAGAATACTGTTAAAATTTCTAGTTTTTTTACTCATTTAACTGGACTAAAAGAGAGTTTTTGATAGTACAGGAAAATTGGGAAACCCAAAAGAGGCTTAATAATCGAAGCTAGTTGATTAGAAATAAAATTGAGGTAGAATACTGTTAAAATTTCTAGTTTTTTTACTCATTTAACTGGACTAAAAGAGAGTTTTTGATAGTACAGAAAAATTGGGAAACCCAAAAGAGGCTTAATAATCGAAGCTAGTTGATTAGGAATAAAATTGCGGTACAATACTGTTAAAATTTCTAGTTTTTTTACGCATTTAACTAGACTAAAAGAGGGTTTTTGATACTATAGGAAAATTGGGAAACCCAAAAGAGGTTTAATAATCGAAGCTAGTTGATTAGGAATAAAATTGCGGTATAATACTGTTAAAATTTCTAATTTTTTTACGCATTTAACTAGACTAAAAGAGGGTTTTTGATAGTACAGGAAAATTGGGAAACCCCGAAAAGGTTTAGTAATCGAAGCTAGTTGATTAGGTGAAAAATTGCGGTACAATACTGTTAAAATTTTGAGTTTTTTCAGCATTTAACTGGACTAAAAGAGAGTTTTTGATAGTACAGGAAAATTTGGAAACCCAAAAGAGGCTTAATAATCGAAGCTAGTTGATTAGAAATAAAATTGCGATAGAATACTGTTAAAATTTCTAGTTTTTTTACTCATTTAACTGGACTAAAAGAGAGTTTTGTTAGTCCAGGAAAATTTGCAAACCCAAAAAAACATTAGTAGATAATTGAAGCGACTTAATTAGCAACTTTTTCAAGTAATTTTTTTTTAATATTCTGGAAAATAAAAAAGACAGATTTTTTTTGAAATTTCGAATATTTTTCAATACGTACCTGCCATTACCAACACAGTGTCAAAAAAAAATAATTAAATAATTAATGACAATCAATCAAAATGGCGACAATTTTGAGCAGCTCCTTCAACTTTTAACGAACAGGACAGTATTAACTAACTTTTTAAAAATTAAGAATTGAAAAAAAAATACTGAAAAAAATTGTTTAGAATTAAAAGATCTATACGCAGTTAAAAAAAAAGTATCTACTTATTAGACACCCTGTATACTCTAAAATATGTAATGTCATCAAGTGAAGAATGCAACAAATAACAGCGCACCTTTCGAATTAACATTTACCTTTACCTACTCGTACTTATACATACATTGTCATTGTAAATTGTAATTGCAATTGCAATTGCAATTGTATATTATTAAAAAGGATTCTTATACAGGGTGTTTATTAATTAAGTGCCGATATTTCAGGATGTGAATGTTTGGA